TCGCCTTTAGCGATCAACTGATAAATGTCGTCGAGATATAGAGAAAAACAGCCTTCCCAGTGGAGTAAAATGACCCGAAACTGTCGCAGAACAAAACAGTAATCGAGCTAATAATAAGTATTTGTCTATTTGTCGCTAAGGAAACAGAAAAACAGAAATTTCAAACCAATCAGAGGCTGCATTATTTACAAAATATTTTCCAGAGTACGCGTACGATCAAGCGCGCTCGAGTACGCGTACAACCGATTTCCAGGCCTTTTTTCGATTTTTTTCTGTCTTTGCCTGTTTTGAGAGGATTTCGGAAAGACCACGAAGAGATCGAAAGTTTCAGTGTAGTCGAAACTGAAATAATGTTCCAGTGAGTAATACAACGACCAGCTGACTACAAACGACGTAAAAGCTTGGCAGAAGAAATAAAAGAAGTAATTCATAGTTTAGTCATGCGCGTGTATCAGCGATGTTTTAAAATGTAGGCAAACTGTGCACAAATGTGCGTACAATTAACCTGCTTCTGTTTGTGCGTATGCGAGGATAGCCAACTTTTCACGGCTAAAAATAGGCCTAAACTAGTTATAATGTGGTAGACGGAAGCGCGCACTTGATAAATTTGAAGTCGTCTCATTCCCCTGCCATGGAGTTTGGCTGAATGACACCCGATAAATATTTTGTGCTCGGAAAATTAAGGGAGAAGAAAACTCACCGAAAAATAATGGCTCGTTTGCTTTACTTGAAGATTTGTCAAGAAGCCGATTTGAATAAATTTGAATCGCGAAAAGATCGCGAAGTTCACATTTAATCTACGCCCACTTCAAGATGTCATCATCTGTGTTCAATTGAAAAAAAAAAAAAACAACGTATTTTCATGACAGGGTAATGGGCTCCTGTTCATATGTAATAAAACCTGACTGACTGGAAACTTGATTTTTCCCATCCATGGGAGAATTTCTCCCCACCCCGTCCATGAAAAGTCTTTTTCAACCTCTCCCAGAGTGCCATATGGTCGCACGTTGTCCTCGAGGCTTTCTCTTTTCGCCATTTTTCATCATGGGTCACTCGAACGTGTGGTTTTCTCATCCAAGAACTTACGGACCAGGTTCAAGATCCTGGTAAATTTGTTTTCTCTATGTTTTTAAGCTACTTACGTATATTTTATCAGAATTGTTTTAGTATTTGTGTTGTTCCTGAGGGTTACGTGGAGGCTTTTCGATTTACCGCTTGTTCGTCTGAAATTCAAGATGGCTGACACGTGGTCGAGATTCTGTAAATTGAAAATGTTTTGCCGGTAGTCCACGATTTCGCCATTAGTTTTGCTTTTTACGTTCCCAGATCTGCTGTTGAATTTAAGGCATTTTAAGTATTTGATGTTAGTAATTTGCAACAGGATCAGACGAAACATTTCAAGTGGAAATATTTTTAGTTAGCTGATCGTATGTTTAAACTGTATTTCCTGAAAGTTTAGGGATAAGGTATTATCAAAATAAATAACTATTTTTTCACTATCTCTTAGAATTATATATAAATTTTTAGCCTTTTATGATGGAAAACCTATTCTTGGGATGCAGCCATTAAATTTGAGACCTGGTGACAAATGGGCCAAAGGTCTCTACCAAATGTTTGCGACTTGGCAAAAGTTGTAGTTTCAACTACAAAATAACTGGCCTGTTATTGTGTCAAAGCCTCAGAATTACAATGATCATCTGCAAAAATAAAATTAACCTCTTTTTTTTACCTCATGATATGTAGGCTCTAATGATAATTTGTTCACTCTGTCAAAATCTTTGTAACTGAAGATCTTTTATTTGTTTATTGCCCTAACAGCCGTGTTTGCTTCAACCGTCATGGCCTTATCAGAAAATATGGGCTCAATGTTTGTAGACGATGCTTTAGGCAGTACGCTAAAGACATTGGCTTCCAAAAGGTTAGTTCAGCCCTATCCTCTGTCCTTTCAAATTTTGAAGTTCCCATTAACTCAAACTACTGTTAACTAGAACCTAAGGCCAACTGGAACTTATGTTTATTTTTTCCTGAATTTCCAAGCTACTTAAAACTGTCAAATTCTTTATTTTTACTGAACCAGACTCTTGTCTTTTGTTTGATCTGATCAAAATACACACTGTATGAACAGAAGTTTTGTATTTGTCTTGTTTTTCCTTACTCAAGTTATTTGTTTTCCACTTCTGAGGACCTCGGCCTTTTTCAATTTCCTTTGAAGGTTTGAGTGTTCTTTCAATTCATAAATTGATTTTTTTTTGTTTGTAGTTCCACTAGTGTACCATCAAGGTCAAGCAACAATGCACATTTAAAGAATTTTGGTTTTGAAAATTAACAACTTTGTTAAAAAATATTGGCAGAATTCTGACAGCTTGTGAATGCAACATCTTGCTGGAAAGTGTAATAAAGCATTGTTGATATTTATGCTAACGTTATGTGTGTTTGAATTTCATGTGTTTTTTTTTTTCGATACACCCTAAC